ATTACCCTGTTTTTTTGTACATGTGGGCACTTCAAGGATGTCGTACGGGCCATTTGTAGGTAACTTTATGTCCTATAAAGCCCGCTATATTTTAAGTATCAGTCGAGGATTTAACGGACTGTGCGGTATGGATAGTGGAGATCTAGGAAGTATTGGTCATTAAGTGGAAAGGGCAAATATACGGGGTGCCAAAGTTAACATACGAACATTCCCGTTTCTTCTGACGCTTCCCACATCTATGTTGTGCCCCCTCTCTAGAAAAGTGCACGTGAAACTGAGAGAGATGAGTAGTATGCCCTGTCCATGTCCTATCACAATCCGACCCTCTTGTCATTTAGGTATAAATCAATATGTCCCCTTTACGAACAGCCATACAAAAACGAGTGTGGGAGAGAGAGAGTGCCTCGAATCAGACATTCCGACTGGTTTTTATAGGGTATGACATGGGTATGACACCCCTTACCAATGGACGAGTAGCTTCGTAAGGACCTTCTACCCTTCATTGTATTATTCATGTGCTAAGGGCCCTATCCCTGCATAACCAATGTTTATGAAGAACCATAGTTGGCCAACTTGTTGCCATCATTCAGTTTCGCTGATGTTGATGGACTGAGCAGAATGAGATGTGCTGAGGAGTCCGCACAAGACGACGTGCTCAAGACATTAGCCGAGCTCCTTCCCGCACCGCACACTCACACACTCTCCTCATCTACTGTGGCTGGGACGATACACACACGCCACTTCCGCCTCCTCTGCACGTACGCGGCACTTGGCCCTACTACTTGTTACACAGATAAGAGGCCATCCATTGGCACGCCGACGCTCGGCCCCAGCCCGAAAAGCTGCCCCCGTGGGTGGAGACATTGTTTTTGCTCCGTCCTCTCTTCCACACAGACACCCTCTCTCGCGTTCACTCTGTCCCTCTCCCCGTTTCCTTCTGTTGTTGTTGGAAGCTCATTTTTGGGCTGACATTTTCGTATTTAAGTTTTATGCCGCCATTTTCTTCCGCTTTGCGTGATGCACGTACTCTCTCTTCGCTCTTTCCTCCTCCTTCTGTCTAAGTGTGCGGTTTTTCTGTATTCGGCACTTCGCCACATCGCCAAGTCGCCCCTTCCCCACTTCCTGTCTCAGTCCACCATTTCTGTTGGTGTGTGTTTTGCACTTAATACCATTTTCACTCTCTTTAATGATGCTCAATTTTGTGCATCATTAATCTTTAGCGATTTTCAGATTTTCCGTTGACTGAGGCGGCGTCTCGATGGGGTTTGCGCTTACCTTGTCCTCCTCCCACCCTCTTCGCCCACCCTCCTTGTCTCTCTGTCGGCTGTCCCAGCTGCTTTCCCTAATAATTATGCTACAAAATATGTAATTACAGTTTCAATTTGATTCGCCGGGAAACGCTGTGGAAAATATTCACAAATCTGCCACAGGTTGCGCTGCCAAGAAATTGTTGACGTACATTTATCACGCCTAATTAGGACTTCAACCTTACGAAAGGACGCCAGGACTGCTTTCCGGGGGTGTTCCTACACCGCAAGCTTCTGTGGAGCTTCTGCGTGCATGGGCGCCGGACTTTTAAGCAGAACATCACGTAGCAGCAGTCCGTGAGCAGTCTAACCTCAACCAAGATAGGGCGGATGAGCTGGCTGTGAAAGCCAGCCTTGAACTGTCACTAAGGATGCTATGCGGCCCTGAATAAGACAAGAGTCTTCCAGGGACAGCATGGGGAATTGTATATCCGCAGCAGCGATCTCTTTGGGTCCTTGGAACGGTTGAACGTCACGGCAAAGAATCCAAACAGGCCAAGTGCTGAACGGAACGATGTGATCCAGAAAGCCGTTTATGGGTTACGCAGCCCAAAATAAGCCAATAATCCACATATTACAGCGACTGGTGCAGCAGTAAAGTGAATGCCCAATTCTTTTTATTTTCTTGCACTGCCCACTGTAGCACATTGTAATCTAAATATATGTACATACATATGCTCCGTACGGCAGTAGCCATGATTAAGTTGTACAGTGCGTTTGCAGTTGTACTGCGCAAATTAGGACCCGAAAAGAGAGCGCGTTGGGGGAGCAGGCCAGCTCGTATGATTTCATAATGTCAGCTGCCTGCGCAGCCGCTCTCTCGAGTTTTGCTCTCCTTCTTTCGCCTTCCCGATCTGTCGCGCGCTGTCCTTGAACTTCGAACTAAACTTAGCTCGAACCTTTTGCTATCCGTTACGCTATCTGCATCGCATTTTATACCATTTCCAACCTAAAACCGTATTAAACCGAACAATCTTCGATCGCAAGCATACGGAGACAATAGCCATATTTAAGTACACTCCCGATTAGGTCGAGCTAGTTAAGAACTATCCAAGATAGTACTGTATAGTCAGAGCCACACACTGATGTAGCCACTCTGCTAAAAGTTGCTGCAGTAACATTATAGACAGACTTACAATCAATCAGTGATGTGTGCACTAAATCATTCGCCTTGGCCGCAGTAGAATAGTGATCGGGCTGGCGCCATGATTGATGAGCTCTTTCAAGTTTTTTCGATTTTCGATTGCTACGAGCTGAAATTGATTTGATTGCCCCAGCTATCAGCTAGAGACAGGGCAGGACTCATGGTAAGAAGACCCTATCACGATTTGGTCACAATTTTCGGACTGTTGGACTGTTAGACTGTTAGACTGTTAGTGTATCCCCCTTCCCGATTCTCTTTGAATGCAAGAATTGTTGCTGCTATTTTATTTTATATAATATTTCTTCTTCGTTCCCGTTTACTTTTTCGTATGTTTTTTTTTGCACCATTTTCTTTTTTAACAACTTTTTGCTGCTGTTTTTATTTGAAGTTTGCAATAAAATAAAAGCCACACAAGACCCCAGACGCCATATGGAGCATGGGGATTAGTGGGGTGTGCTGGTTGGCGGGGCCAGAGCCAGAGCCGGAGCCATAGCAGCAGAGAGCGTGGCCAGCCAGAGATTCTGGCCAGCACTGCCCTCGGCCACAGACACGAAACGCGCAACTATAAAGAAAAAATCCCCATTCATATAATTTACGTGTGCGCCCCAGGGGATGGGTGCGTGAGTCGTGACTGGCACTGGGCCCTGTCAGAGTGATGGGAGTGAGGGTGATATGCGATAGGACATCAATCAGGGGTCTCTGATCGTCCGTCTGGTCCTAAAAAGTCGAAAAATGGTCTCGGGAATCGCAAGACGTTATTGGAGGGATATTATGTACATTTAATGATTCCTTCAAGCTGAATAGAGTGGCCATATTAAACCCGACTTTGGTTATGAAAACATCCTGCATCCCTCTAGCGATTGAATCGAATCTACGTCACCACGGAAGAGTCATAGCTCCAACATGTGTATATAACCACTAATATACAGTAATACAGGGACTATCCCTGTAGTCGATCGTCACAGCAGCTATAGCCATTCCTATTATTCTTGAGTAAGTTCCGCAAAGAGTCCGCAAACGATAGTTCTCACAGCAATTACGGACCATCTCTAGAGCAGACACAGCTTTGCTGCTGCTTCGGCTGGCTGCATTTTATTTTACCATTTCGTTTCGTCCACGTTTGGATTTATGAATTTCGACTCGCACGACCCATTCCTGCCCTTCCCTTCCCTTCCCATCCGTTCCTCTCTTGTCCAGTCCTTCTCAACCCTCCCGCCATCCACCCTGCTCCTCTGAATCTGCAGCCATTCATTGTTGGCCCCGCACATATGCGGTTTTATATATTGACACTTAAAATTTATGGGACTTAAAAATCTACAAAACGCTGCCCCGTTTTGTCCTCCAAAGTTGGTTTAGAGCTTTGGCGTTCGAGCTTCCCCGCGGGATGGAATGGTGGTGTGAGGGGTGAGGGCTGGGTTTGCCCATCACAAAAGCTTGGCCAGCCCAGCCCTGGGTCCAAAATGGCACGGGGAGTGCGAGGCGAGTGCGGGTGCCAGTCAGGGCGGGCGATGTAAGAAGTCGGTGACAGGAATTTTCATGTGGAAAAACTAAGCAAAGCAGCAAATCGTGTGTAAAATTAATAGGGTTGCCCCTGCTGCCAGGGTTGTCAGCATGTGCAACTTGTTGATGTTGATGTAGAATTGCAGAGAAGTGTGGAAATATACCTGGAATCTCGGCACTCCGTGGACAAAAGGGTACTATATGATTTTGATGGAGAGAGATCTACATTGATCCCTCCTATCAGCTGATTGCCAGATAGTGATGTCTGATCTGTTGAATCCGAAGAAAGAAATTGGAGAAGACTAACCTTCATTCTGGGGAGAATAATTGCGCTGAGGAGAGGATTGGCAGTCCCGACTGCCGACTGCAACATGACTTTGCCGGACCTCCAACAATAATTTGCACACTTGATAGAATAAGCCTTCAGGGCCACTTTATTATCAGTCCAACCCAAGACTTCAGCTAAAACTTTCGGTTTTCCGTTGTTTCTTCGCTAATTAAATACAACTTAAAGTCAATGAAAATGAAATGAATCATTAATGGCCTGAATTGTGTGGAAGATTGATGGGTGGTTTGGTGGTTGTAACGTATCGCGAAGCCAGAAAGCTAGGGAGCCAGGGAGCTGGGGAGCGAGGGGCACTTTCTATTTCGTTTTCATTGCTGACTTCATTGAGCTAATCAGCTTATTGAACTTGGGTTTCAGTGGCTGGCAGTGGATGCAAGTGGCTGGTGGTGGAAGCCCATCCACCAACCACCAACCACCAAGGACCGATGGAAAAACGAAAAGTTGGCCATGGGAGATTTTAATTCTAAGTAGCTGCAGCTGCTGCTCGGACCTGGAGCTCCACAAAATCAAATTCAATTTTCCGGGACAGTGCAGATGTGGCCGCATCTGTGGTAGCCCGAAGAATTCAATTAATTACACAATGAGCCGCCGCCCAAGGAGGTTCTTGCGCAATGTTTTCCTTGGAGCTTGGAGGGTAATCCCTTGACTCTCCACTCGACAATTATTATACGTTCTGTCTGGCATGTCTTTGATTGTCACTCACCTGTGTGGGCTGCGTGGACAGCAAATCGATTGTTTCATCGTGTTGCTGATGGGCGAGTCCTGCAGTGGATGTCAGTGGATGTTGCTGCTGTTGCTGCTGCTGCTGTTGCTGCTTCTGTTGGAACTGCTGCTGGTAGTGCTGCTGCTGCTGGTATTCATATTGCTGCTGCATCTGATATTGCAATTGCTGGTACTTCAACTGATGCTGCTGCTGCTGCTGCTGCTGCTGCTGCTGCTGCTGCTGCTGCTGCTGCTGCTGCTGCCCCTGCACTAGAGAGCAGAAATAGAGAAGGATGGCCAGCAAATGGAACGTATTGGCAGCATTTCGTGCTGTTTTATTTATTGCTGACGACAGCATGTTGCCGGTCGTTTCCTCCTTCTGTTCGCTCTTTCAATCTCCAGATATGTGTGCGGATATACTATATCTGTATATGTACTATATCCGTTTTCACTCCTTTCCTATTTGGGTGAGTGGCTGGCAAGTATGCAACACTTTGCCACACTGCTGTTGTTGCCGCGTGCTTGCTTGTCTTTGGCTTCGTTCTGTTTCCTTTCTTTTTGGCCGGCTACCAGTTGCAAGTAGAAAGTTTTTGGGTTTGTGCCACTGCAAGGAAAACATTTCAAACAAGTAAGTTCAACTTGTTCTTAAGTGTCGGACATATACATATACATATACATATACATATATAAAATATAGAGAGATACGTAAAACAAAACAAAACAAAACCCAAAATAAAGTAAAAAGGTTGCTCATTGCTTGCAACTCGACGAAAAAACTACTCGCATTCCCCAAACACCCCATGCCTCCTCCTACAGATGATTCTGTGAACCAATTCTTTCGACTTTGTATGTTATTCAGATCTCTACAGATAACATGCCCTACAGATGCTTTAGGGGCGGGGCGAGGTGTACCTGCAGTGCCCGTTCTCATCAGGAGGAAGGCCTGTATTGGAGCACTACGGTTGCAGAGTGTCTCCAAACTAAAAGATACCTAAGAACCCCAAACACATATATGTATATACTCGTATATGCGATATATATTATCAAAACCTTCACCGTTCAAATTAACAGTAGAAGGGATTGCAACATGCATGTTCTCTGGGCGCATCTGAGCGCATCTGAGCGCAGCCGGATCTCAGATCTGCTACACCGATGCATCGATGGGTCCAAGTTGGTGGTGGTACCGGGCATTGTAAGCCCAAGGTTCAAGAACCATCAACCATCAATTACGACCAAAACCTTGCTTTACAAATTCTCACCGTTCCCCCAAGATGTGCTCTATGTGCGGATTACAGGTGATATTGGGATGTCAAATAGTTCGTAGTGTGGGCTGGGCCCTTAATCGATATTTCGACGGATACGAGTATTCCCTACCTCCAGACAACTCGTTTCAACGGAATTGTAAATTTCAGTTTACATTTCAGTGCAAGTTAATGGAATTCTCAGGCGCTATTGTTGTAAAAGCGAGGTGGCGGAGGACGGCTGAGAAGGAGAGGTCTCATTTTATATTTCTTGGAAATAATTGCAGCTTCGGAATGGAAACGGCCGTAACGAACGCAACAAAAATTAAAATAAAATAAAACAAAAGAAAATGGCAAATAGTGTGTGCAATATCTTCCTTTTCCCCTCTTTCCCCTTCCCCTTCCCCTTCCCATTCACCATCCCATTTCCATTCCCATTCCTCTTTCCCCTGTCTTTCTACTTCAATCAAAGAAAAGTGTGCGTGCAAAAATCAAAAATATAATTTTCAATAATTAATGCAGAAAGCAAAAGGAAATGAAACAATACATAAACCAATTTTTGTATTTTTTATTTTCACTTGCAATCAAAAGTACTTTGGATCAAGATGAAAGAGGTAGCTGAAAGAAGCAGAGGAGGAGAGAGAATTGGGAGGGGCTGCGGAGAAGAAGATGAACCAAAGGCAGAGACAGAGACAGAGACAGTATAAGAAGTGGAAAATTGATTTTAATTTGCTGTGTGTGTGTGTGTGTGTGTGTACAGAGGAGAAAAATCATTTTCACTTTTCCAATTTCAATTAAATGTCGAGTAAGGCGGGTATGATCATAGCAAAATATTGCTGTTAAACACGGTTAAAATTAACTTTAAAATACCCACGGAGAAGTCATGATGATCAACACCACACATGTGTACATTTGTTTGAAACAATACATATTTTCTTGATCGAGTAGTCTTAGTGGATAATCATACAATATAGAATATGTAGAATACAATAAGATGCAACCCGAATCCCTACGCGATAGAGGCAGCTGCCATGGCAACGATGGATGTGACTCGGACCCCACAGGTAGCCTTTCCTTGTTATTTTGTTGATGTTGATGTTGATGTTGCTTGCTGCAGCCGATAATGATTACGATGCTGGCAGTGAGCACGATGAATGGGGGCTGGTGTTGCTGTGGTGTGATGGCGACTTTGGAGGGGGCTTGCCGGTTAAGTTGGTGCTTGAAAGGGGGAGGTGCTTGATACGAGTATCTATGCAATAAAAGCTTCTGCGAAAATTGCACTTTGATGTGGCTGGCTGAAGACGGGAAGGCAGTGGTGGAAGCGTGGGGGGAGAGCAGTTTCCATAATGGCTGGCAAAGGCAAAAGAGCTACTAGCAGCCACAGCCACTAGAGCTCCACCTGCATTCCCCTGTGTCCCCCTTCCATCCGACTCCTCTTCAGCTGGGTAATCATCAATTTTGCTTGCAATAATTTCAACTCTCGCCGACAACACCCCACAGCAGACAGCTAGAGATACAGATACAGAGAGAGGATAGCACGGTGAAAAAAATCCGAATTATATAGTCGAAATTAATTTCGAAATAAAGATACCCTCTGCATCTCTTAACAGTCTTAAAGCACCTTCACACACTTTACATTATTTTTGCATTTCTCTTTTTTTTTGTATACATACATATATCCGAACCAGATCGTATTATTGTTATAGCTAGAACGGAAAAACAAAACACCCACGTTTCATGGTCGGCTTTGCCTGTCGCTTAAGATCAGCGCCTAGATCTCAGAGACCCTTAGAGCTAGAGCCACCAAATTTGGTATCCACACTCCTGTGATATACCACCTGCGCAGGTGCTCAATCAAAGAAAACGGCCGTAGCTATTTGGCTGCCGAATCTGGATCAGGGCGGATCAATGCCAACTGATGGATGGTAGAAGAAAAGGACGAATAATATCTGAAAACGGCGTTTTGGGAAAAAGGAGCTTGTTTATAATGGATCGATGGGTAGTATGATAATATATGTATCTCTCTATGTTATTAAAAAGTTTTTTTGTACTCATATCGACGCGTGCTAGCGAAGCAAGTCCCATGTAGTGTATACCATATACTATATACATATGTAAATACTGCAGTAAATACTATGTGAAACAGGCATCTTCGCAGGAATAAAGTATACCCCACGTTGCGTGCCGTGCCTTGTGCCTTGTGGCTCGTGCCTCGAGCCGAGCGTAAAAAATCAGGACATTTTTTGCTGGAAATGAATGAATGCAAACACTGGTATACTCTATAAGAACATACGCGCGCACACACAAACAATCGCATATACATATGCACATACATATACATAAGCATATATGGGCATTCTGGGAAAATTTCTTTTTTTATTGGCCTGACCAAAAAGGAATCCCAACGTTCGATGGCAGACAACTTTTGACTTCGTTAACAAACTTGTTGTTGGTGCTGCTGCTGCTGCTGCTGTTCCGCCCCTTCATTTACCTTCCCGCAGCCACTGCCGTCCCGTCCGCGGCCCCGTCCGCGTCCCCGTCTCCTGCCAACCTCCTCTTGTTTGGTGTCAATGATAGCGTGAATGATACTTTGTGTACACACTTCATTTGCACAAGTATCCGGAAATGGACATGGCCACAACAGCACAACGATCATTGCAGCTGGATTCTGGATGCTGGACTCTGGCTTCTGATGGCTGATGGCTGATGGCGGATGGCGGATGGCACACACGCAAATGCTTTTGGCCCCTTTTTCTTTTGATGATAGAGTGAGAGAGATATATCTGAAATGGGCCAATAACCATCATCATTACAGCAGTCATCGCGAGAGTTAAGATGCCTTGATTGGGCTGTAGCTGCTTGTAAATGGCAACGGCCTTTCAGGTTGGTAACACTTACAATAAGGCCGAAATCATGATGAGTGGGAGGCAGAGTGTAATTATACAATGTTTCTCAACAACTCATACATATTGACATGTGTACATGTTATGTAGATTAATCAGCAAACGATGAAGATGGAGAAAGCCGAAGAGCTAAGAGTGAAAAGGTAAAATGAATTATATACTTATACAAAAAGAAAGAAGGAGTGCGTACGGGGGTAGGACGGAGTACCGATTCCCTTGCGGTTCTTTGGTTGATCAGTGGCGATCTCTTGGTTCTCCAGAATGCCTGCTCTATTATCTTGATATCTTCTACAACCTATGTCATTCCCTTTCCCGGCATACCCGCCCTTTGAAGCGGTCCTCACAAGCCCTCATAAAATTGATAAGCAATAAATTGGCTCGGCTATCACACTTTCTCCCTCTTCCTGTGTCCTGTAGTCATCCCTTTTGATGGACCCAATGCTCCCATAGCCATCTCTTCCCGAAGCACTTTAATGGGTCACAAAACTGCGCAGCAACATGAAGAGCAGCAGCAGCGGCTAAGAGTCCGGTGGAGTCGTCTCGAATCGTATGCCTATGCCAGCGGAGATTTTGCACCCTGCCACAATGCCAAAAAAAGTGGGCGGAGCATTGCAGGCGGATTGTAAAATTTATGATAAGAACGTGCAACGCTGATAAGACCGTCCTGGACAGGAGGAAGGGAAGCCCGGAAAATGAACAGAAGACAAAGGCTGAAAGCAGGAGGAAAAGGAAAACGAGGAAAAGCCCCACAAAGTGAAGCGGGGTGATGAGAGGGAACGGGGGGAACAGAGGGACTGGCGTGACACCTTGTTGCTCGTTAGGGTAATAGTTCCACAGTCCACACCGACTCCAGTTGATTCGCCGCTTGTCTGGCCTTTGCCCGTCGCACAGTGGGCCGTCAGCAGAAAGGATGTGGCAGTCATTTTCTGAGCGAGCACTTTCGATAACGAGAATATAAGCATCTGATATATAAATAGGTATTTTAAAAAATGGACAAAGCAGACACAGCCCTTTCTTCCCAATCTTCCACACCTGCTGGAAAATACTGATGCACCAGTCTGGGCTTGCGGATCCGCCTTTACATCCGCGCGGATCCCGGCAGGACCCCAGCCCTCCTAGGGAGCCCTGATTCTATACGGCCCTGGATTTCTTTGTACTGAGGACATTATACACAAGAGACGCATGCCTAGGACATTCGGACCAACTAGTGAGATATAGGGGGTCTTCGCTATATAGACTGGACTATAGATACTGGACTCAGAGCTCAACATAATCCGTACTCGAGTACTCGAGAAATAGTAAGGGGTCTCCAGAAGAAACGTTAACTGGTGAAGAGATATAGTTTTTGAAGAGGACTCTTTGAGACCTGAAACAAAGGTAGCTAGAAATCCACCTCAAGTTTTTGTGCTAGGAGGCAGTGATTTCCACAGTCGGTGTAAATAACATCCGTCTGTAAGTTT